CCCCACGGCGTAGAGCCTGCGGATGGGGCCGGCCCAGCCCCGCCGCTCCGCCTGCTGCCGGATCAGGGCCGCCGCGTACTGGTAGGTGAGGAGGCTGGGCTTCCCCATCAGGCCCTCGTACAGCAGCTCCCGGCCCGTCACCTTCCGGTAGATGGCCTCCAGGCACAGCAGAAAGGTGCCGTGGCCGAACCTGCCAGGGAGAGCAGGGCGTGGGGTCGCTGGAGCCGCAGGCGCGGGCCACCACGCCCGGCCACGTGTTTGGCCTGCTGCGCGGACCAGGCCTCGCCGTGCTGCTCGGGCGATCCTCTCGCCTCGGCCTCCCACGGTGCCGGGATGACAGGCGTGAGCCACCGCGGCCCAGAGTCTGACCCGGAGGCCAAGCTGCAGTTCCGCTGTAGACCTGACAGGCTGCTGGCTGCCGTTCTCCCCGCCAGGCTGGGGCGAGTTTCCAGCGGGGTGCTGCCGCCCGGTGTAAAGTGGACGCTCCCTTGCACTAGGTGTGGCCAAGTGACCAGGCTCCAGCCAAGCAGCCGGCGAAAGCAGGAGAGCGAGCCTACGCTCCCTTTTTATTTTTTTTTATTTTTGAGTGGGAGTCTCACTCCACTGCCCAGACTGGAGTACAGTGGCACGCTCCCAGCCACCGCAGCCTTGACGTCCTGGGCTCGGGCCATCCTTCCGCCTCAGCCTTCCAAGCAGCTGGAACTACAGGCACGTGCCACCACGTCTGGCTAATTTTTTTATTTCATGCAGACATGAGGTCTTGCCAAGTCGCCCAGGCTGATCTCGAACCCCTGGGCTCAGGCAGTCCTCTCGCCTTGGTCTCCCGAAGTGCTATGATTACAGGCCTGAGCCACCACGACCAGCTTTGGGCTACACTTCCCGTAAGCATCCTTAAATCTGTGAGGGTACTCCTCTGCCCTTCCCATTCCTTTCTGCGGCCTGGGTTGCTGATACGACGGCTGGCGTCTGAGCAGCCATTTTGGATTAGGTAGGGACCGCACAGCAGAAGAAGTGCCCGTGTCCCTGGTAAGGTGCAGCCTCCCGTCAAGCCCTGGACTGCCTACCCCAGACTTCTTTCGCATGAGAAAGAAACAAACTTCTGCCTTGTTCAAAGACGCATTTGTTTTGGCTGTTCATCTTTTCTCACTAAACCAAACCCTGACCAATACTATATTTACACACCAGTTTACATTTGTGTTCTTATTTAAATAATTCTATTTTCAATTTTTCAATGATTGGATTAAAAAAATCTCAGATCTGGTTCATGAATTTGCCCCTTGCTACACAATTCCCAGTAACCAAACCCCTCATCTAGTGTCCACACATGCTCATCTAGGCATCACACTTCAGAGACAAGACCAAACCTTGAGCTACAGAAATATACTTGACAGTCGGGCGTGGTAGCGCGCGCCTGTAGTTCCAGCTACTCGGAAGGCTGAGGCGGAAGGA